AACGGTGAATATGCACATCGTCATGCCTGACCATTGCGAGACTACATGTGCGACGTTTGTGATCGCTGCACATGATTACCTCTTGTGAATGGTTATGAATATATATGCGGGCGCACGTGTGCATAACATCGTCGATGCGTTCCCGGTGGGAAAAAAAATCTCGTCATTCGAGGGCCTTCTGTTTAAATATAGCCACAAAGGTTGGGCAGTGACTTCTCGTTGTCACACGCAAGTAGCCGTGTGGGATTTTTTCTTCGCTCAATAAGTTGACACACACATCACCCTGATTGTGCGGAACTGCATAATACGGTTATATCGACGAAAGGCATGGCAAAAAAGGCGGTGAGGAAGTGAATGCATATATTTATCACCTGGCGCGGTCTGGGCAATGCTCAATGCGCGGCAGTTGTAAATACGGAGGACTGTTTTACTGCCACCGTCCGCTCTCTAATGTAAGTGCAAAATTTATTACGCAGATGCTCGTACGATCGATCGACCTCGAAACATTCGAAGTTCCCGTACCACGTACACCTATTCTGCTTTGTACAACGACTGCGTACCACGAGTCATGTCTATTCCAAGGTGTAGCACCGGGAGGGGCCATGGGAAGGACGGTGGGGGGGCAGACCCCCCTTTTCCAGCCCCATAATCGCCTCCCCCCCCCCCCTGAGGGTAGACATGGTCAAAACACAACTCCCTTTCTTTCCTGAAGGAATTCGTCGTGGTTTCGGTTTTTCTAACCGCAGGATGTCGGCGAATCTGCGGGCGTTTTTCCCGTCGTCTCGCAACAGCGCTTGGCCCGCGCACGGTGTGTTTTCACGTGCGTACATGGCGCGGTAGTCGTCGATAACCACCACGTGCTTGATGTCGTAGGTTGGCAGTGCGCCTCTCCCCTTCCATTAGCGGAAGATCGACCTGGACGAGAAGCATGCGACATGGCCGCAGGGCCCCGTGACACGAGGACACAGACGCGAGTCGCGTCTTCTGTCGTATACGGCCACGACTGTCAAATGCACGGGCCATAGATGGCTATCCCGCCCAACCGCAGCGGACATGCTTATTACGCACCCGACCACAGTCCTCCTCCTGTCGCGTTTCCTTCGTTGACCGCAGACAGGTTGCCCAATGCATGGGAGGTATATAGCCTGCAGCGGTTGTATTCCGACGAATTATGCTCGTTTGGGAATCGACTGTTTTCTCGTTCTCTGCGCGCTCTCTCTCTCTTTCTTTGCATCCACTTTTTCTTTTCCTTAAGTCACGCTGCCGGTCGTCTCTTGGAAAGCGACGCGGTGACATCGCCCTCCTTGTCGCATTCCCAGTCGCACATAATGACGCAGTTGTTATTGCGGAGAAAGAGAAAGCCGATGGTTTTTTTTTTTTTCCTGTCCAATGATAACCGCTTTCTGACGCCGGAACCGCAGAATACCGAACTCTTTCCTAGAGGGCAAATTTCGTAAATTTCAGCTCTGACATTGCTGTGGTTCGTTGAGGAGCCGTCAACTGAATAAGCGAAATGCTGGACATTTCTTCGTGTGTGAATTACGTGATTTGTTGCGCTGAAGCTGATGGACGATATCACGCACGAAATCTCGAAAGGAGATGGTCACACAGGCGCGCGATTACAAAACAAACAAACAAACAAACAAACAAACAAACAAAACGCACACTGCAGGAGGAGCTAAGAATCATTGCAGACGTGAATTGCGTGTGAGAGGCAGCCGCTTATAGCATATGAATGCGCGCTAAAAAATCGACTTGCGCATTCTGAATATCGGAATCGAAAGTTGGGCTAGTTGGATATGCATGGTATAACTATCAGTTAAAGCGCACGAAACTGATAGTTATACTATCAGTTTCGTCGACGAAAGCAGACATATACTATCTGCTCGACGAAAACAGACATGCGAAACTGATAGTTTCGCATGTGTGTTTCGAAAGCGCTTGTCCTCTCTTCATGTCTGTTTTTCGTGCGCTTTAACTGATAGTTATACTGAATATCGGCTTGATTGAAAAAAAAAATATACTTCTTCATTACACCCGTTGGTCGCAACTGCTAGAAAAAGATTCGCGTAGTTCTCTCTTCTTCATGGGACACTCGCATGCAAAGTGGGGCCAACGCGTGTCCTTGCCTGTTTTCTATCTTTAGGACTTATATTCGACTGCTTGCAGACAATAAGGGTACTGTTTTCTCACGTATAAACACGCAACTTCACTACAAATTACCTGTTGGCTGTACACTCTCGACCTTTCAATAGATCAAGCATCAAGCCCCCGCAAGCCAAGCGACGCTGAGGAAACTGGCCTTCGTGCTGGACGAGCTTTCGCCCAGCTGGGCACAAAACGTCGCCGAATGCGGCCGAACCGCTCCGTCGAGCCATTTATTCGCCATTTGCGGATCCGTCGTGCGCGGAGAGAGAAGAAAGAGGCGCGGCCGCGACAGAGAACTCGTGCAAACACACATGCACGGGGTTGGGTGCGTCGGTTGGACTCCATAATAAGGCTTCTAGCTCGCCAAAAAAGAAACGAGAACGTTTCTCGGGAGAGCGGTGACGCGGGCCGCGCCGAAGAATGGCACCAAATAAACTCCCGGCCTGTGCGACAAAAGGCGAGAAAATAAGAAAGAGGTTTCCTTCTTCTTCTTGAATCGGCGACGCGGAAGCACAAAGGAATCGACGGCGGGCGAAAAAGCGAAGACGATGCCGCAGTCACTGCGCTGCCGCCGCGGTGGTTCGTGCGGTGGGACCCCCTGCCCGAGAAAGACAGGACTCTTCCACGGTTCAGGGCGCTTTGCTTTCGTTTTCGACCCCGTTTTCGTTATTTCTTTTTTTTAAACCAATGATTAGGAGAGAGCGAGAGAACTTTCAATCTTATTCCGCGGAAAACTGTAAGCCCCCAACGTTTCTTGGCGTTCTTATTTTGCTTCACTTCCATACGATCTACAATGAAAGCTAGGAGAAGGGAGATGAGACGCTTGTCACACCCCCTTCAAGGCGCGGGGAGGGGTGAGGGACACGGGTGGAGGGATGCGTGGAAGGAGGGGGGTGAGGAAGGGATGGTCTTCTGGTGAGCCCTTGTCCGACCGGCAAGCTGCAGGCCTTCCGCGCATGGGCGTGTGTGTTTGCCGGCTCCAGAGCGAGAGAGGCAGGTGAGCGGCACACAAACACGAACGCTGCCGCATCAACAGAGCTCCGGCCGGCGCGGCATCCATTCAGTCACCGCGCATACAACAGGGGCGTTCGCCGTCGTCTGCTACAGAATACGCGAAGCAGAAGGGAATGCCAAAGCGAAGGGCGGCCAGCAGAAGAAGTCGAGGCGCTGCAAAGAAGCGGCGGAAGTAGCCGCTTCGAGTAAAGCAGTTCGCTACGGGCGTGGGCCTTTCGGAGAAGAGTGAGAGAGAGTTAGGGAAGAAGGGTGACTGAGGGGGTGCACAATCCGCTTCAAATCGCCGTCCCAAGCGAATGCGTCCCCAGGCGCTGCGCTCGGGCGTGCGTCCGGCTCCGACGTGTAGCCGTCGTTTTCCTCCCCCCATACTTTCTGTGATTCTTTTAAACTACATACACATCGCTCGACTCGCTGACGACAACAACAACGACAGCAAGCAACATCGACTATAAGCTGTATCTGCGCGTCCTCTGGCAAATCGCAAGAGACTCGAACCTTCTCTTCATTTTCTTTCGTTCTGACCAGCGGGACACCGACCTCCCTCCCAGCGAGAATAGCCAAACGATGAGGTCCTTAGTGGCGCCAAAGCACAGTCCCAAGCCGGCGCTACAGGCACGGGTAGGCATAATAGCTGCGGCCCTGCAGGGCTCGCCGCGAGGCACGGCGCTTGCCGCCGTTAGAGGGCGGGGGATACACAAGTTTGCTTTCAAAACGTGCCGTACTCAGCCCGCCTGCGGCGCAACTCGGGCAGATATTAAACCGCAGTGACGAGGCAAAATAAAGAAAGGAAGCAGCGCGCCCGAGCGAAGACGAAAAAAAAAAATAGAATAACAGTCGAGAATCGGCTCTAAACGTCGCGCTTGTTCGTGACGAGCGGTGTGTGCGACAGAAAAAAAAAACCCCGCCGAGCAATCGGGCGGAAGAGAATAGTAAAAACGAGGCCGGAAAGCACGACTTTCGTCCGCCCCACCTGCTCAAGTGGGATCTGAAGAGGAACTAAATGAAGAGAGTCCGTGCCTGACGGAGGATGATGCCTCACGGTGAAGGCACGGACGACTTGACGAGGCGTGCGTCCGAGTCGAGATGACAACCGAGCGCGTATTTTGAATCGGCGCTATTTCAATGACACGTATATGTAAGCTAAAAGCGGCAGAGGGCTGCTTTCGGTTCGTGCGTGACCTCGGTGCTGCTCGACGAAAGGACGTCAATTCTCTTCGAGACTTGCCACGTGTCACCCTTTTGAGCGTTCACTGGGACTTCTCAGCGTTTTTACGACGTCCACGGGGAAATAGGCACATCGAAGAGTACGCTGAAGTCGACATCCCGAAGGAAGTGTTGTTCCGCCCATTCTGAATTTAAAAAGAAAGACACTAGATGAAAACAGTGAAAACACGTTTATACTTCAACCTATCAAGGGCACGTCCGCGATGGCTTCGGTGCATTATTCGCGCATTAGCATACGGTGTACGCCTCCGCTGTGTACCGAGCGTCGCTGAGTGACATTTCCGATACGCTACACTGCACTGTGCATGCCGCTTGTGATGCGTGATCTTCAAGTAAAGAGTAAGTGGCTTCGAACACAGCCACTCTTCACGGAATTCGCTTCGCACGTCAGTCATGCCCGTAACATGGAAAAGTTTCTAGGCCTGTAAAAGTGCGCTTCGCTTCAACTGACGTAGTACAAGTGAAGATTGCCTGAATTATGGTTAGTTGATCTTCCCCATGCTTGGTCATTGCTCTTTAAATTATTACTAACGTTGGATATGTGCTCTTTTAGCAGTAACCAGAGTTTTTACTTCACCTAAAGTTTATTTTCCCTCTATTCTTGTCGTTCACAGCTAGACGAGCTATTCTACTTAGGACCCTTATCACAAGACTACAACATGACGCAAGTGATAGAATTCAGGTGAGTTCCCTCTCTTTTACGTTGTTTACTGCGTATTTGTTGTCGCTGTTTTATTCTTATCGTCGAATGCGCGCACGCGAACGTGCACAACTTGCACGCCGTTCGTGTCAGTGTGGAAAAGACCAGTCCCGTTCTTAAGGGTTTTTTTTTTCTCTTCCCTCCTAATTTCGTGCAAAACAGTGCGAGTGACAGCAGCAGCATCGGCGTCAGCTGTCGCATCGTGCTCAACCAACCGCTGACGAACGCGGCGCACCACGTGGGCCTGGCGTTCATCCAGGTGCTCGAACAAGGACACGGAATCCTTCCCGCGGGAAACCTCCGCGTCGACATCCGATCCTTGCACTTCACGAGTGAGTATACAAGCTGGCATTCGCTTCGCGTTGAAGTTTCTTGCATGAGTCCTTGTGCTTAAAAGAACTCATCCAAATCCAGTGCCTGCCGAGGCTGTCTCGCGCTGAAGTTGTACCGACCGTAACAAGGGGCGCATTTGATTTCGAACGATCCAGCTAACGAGCTTACGTTTCAAACGCGCTTGGCTATAGTTGCTCAAGCTTTGGTTTTTCTTTCTTTTTTTTTTCAACAGAAGCAACAGTTCGCAACTTGGTCCGATAATTAAGTGCGAGCAGGCGAAACGGTGCGGTCTTGAAATGCCCGAGAGCTTTTGTTTTGCAGCCTGTTTCCATTCAATGCTTAAACTATGGCTACTTTGCGAGCTATAAGCCCTTAGCGCACACAATTTGCAACACAGTATTGCTCATGCACAGTTCAAAAGGTGTCCGTCAAAGCGTGCTTCTTCACAAGCATAAGTTTCATGAGGGGAAGCCCACCACACGCACTTGTTCATGTTACTGTTAGCCGCCCGGATCACTGCGTGTAACCAATGTCGTGTCTGTGTGTGGCTAAAAGAAAGTATTGTCATTGTAATAATAAACAATCTGAAAGAAAAACCGAGTGTACATTCTTCGTGGCACTTCATTTTGATGTTACATGCGGAGTTGAACTTTCAAAATTGTTTCTCTGTATTTAATCTCTAGGCTCAACCCTACATAAATGTTACGTTAGGAGCAGACCGCGTATATTTGCCGCACCGGTATAACAAAATGTTATGAACGGTTTCATGAGACTCACAATCCAAGCTTACCCGCCATTGTATTACTTCTTTTCCCAGACGTGAAGCCTGGCGCAGTTCCTCCTCCAGCCATGGTGACGCATGGGCCATCCTACTTTGACGGTGAGGGCTTATAAAAAGTTCTGGATACTCCATGGCTTTCTGTTTGCGTGCTTTATTTATAGTTTTTTTTTTACTGTCTAAAATTTTTATTTGCCGTTCGATACCTGCTGAACGCAGTTCCCTTAATGTTACCCCAATGTGACAGTTTGTAGTACTGCACGTCACAATACAAGGATAATTAATACAGGACACAAGGATATGCTATCACAAGGTACTGGGTTGTCCTTGTTTCCCATATGCGTTGTCATATGATATCGTGAGGACCTCGTCGATACTTTCCCGTTGCGTGAGATTTTTCGGTGTCAATGATCGCGAAATTGCGCGATGTTCCAGTGGATTCGGATTGTACGTTTCCCCGGATAGTAAGTTCTTTCCCGCGTCTTTTTTTCTTCGTTAACGCATGAACGAAGTCCTACGGTACCGATTCCCACCCTTACGACTTAACCCTAACCGCTAGTGCCCCGGTTCTGACCTCTCGTTTTGCGTGCAGCTGCCTGGTCCCCGTGGTCTCCGTGGAGCGACTGCGCGGGCCACGACGGCCAGTGCAACCCGAACCGGCTGCGGTCGCGGCGCCGCGAGTGCCGCTCGCATTACGGCCGCGGCAGCCTGTTGCCCGACAACCTGGCCTGCCTGGAACAGGGAGGCAAGGAAGTCGAGTTCAAAAGCTGCCTCTGCCCGACCAGGGCGCCGCCACCCACGACCACGACGGACGCCGCCACCTCGGAGGACGACGACGACGACGAGGGCGACTCGGAGAGCGAGAACGCGACCGCGGCGCCACCGTCCACGACGCGCGAGAAGGCGACGGCGGACACGGCTTCGCAGCCATCGATGCCCGATGACTGTGAGTGGCTGCTTGGAGTCTCGTCGGTTGCCTTTCTGCTCTGTAGATGTGCTGTGTAGCTACGGACGTGCATGCTGCATGGCCTCAGTGATCAGGCGGCACCTGCCGCTACATCACCAAAGAACGTGAAATGTAGACTCAGTAAAAAAGCAACATTTTAAAGCAGGATTCCCCCTTAATTGAAACTGGCTGTTGTAATGGCTGGTTTAGGGCTTCAATCCTGCCCCCCCCCCCCCCCCCCCACTTCCGACTTTTTCTGGGTTATTCACCTTTAAAAAGAAAACTATAGCATTTTCTTTGTGAATGGCACACAGGGAGGCCGTGCCACCAGTGCCAGCCGGGCGAGATATGCTTCATGAATGGCGAGGAGACCAAACCGCATTGCGTGACACCTAAGGACCCCAACGACCCCCGGGGATGTGGCGGATGGTGCTCGGGACCCAACGAGCTCTGCCAACGGCTCGACAACAACACCGTGCATTGCATCGACGATTCAGGTGAGCAGTTCGGGCGATTATTTCCAAGCATGTTCCACGACTGTGGTCCATGCCTATCAAGATTGCAATTAGTATTGAACTGCAGCATTTCGCTGCAGGACGAAGACCTCTCCCATGTTCCCCCAGTTAACTGGTAGGGATCACTTAGTTTTAATCTATTGGCCTTTCCCTGCTTCCTGAATCTTCACAACAGGCGTTATGACCACGAGGATAGCGAATGAACTGATGTGCAATATGACGAGGGTGTAAGTGTGTGCAGGGTTTGCCGTAAGAGGGGGGCGGAAAGTGAATGTTTATTGCAGTGCCTCCCCCCGTGCGCATGCTTATGGTTGTCATCGCACAACTAAGCTGTTGTTGACGTTTGTCGCTATTGAGAGCTTTCTACTGCACATCGCGAAATTCTGCCATCCTGTTTCACATGAGTAGGTTGGTTTCTAGGTTCCCTTAGATGGTCTGAACTCGGTACGTACCAAGTTTCAGAGTTCGCATTATGCCTTGGTTAGTTCCACAATGAACAAAGTTTTGGCTTTTTCGTGATTTCAGAGTGCCTCCACGACGAGTGGCGCTGCAAGAACGGCCTGTGCATACCCGAACAACGTCGCTGCGATGGGCACTTCAACTGCTACGACATGACAGACGAGTACAACTGCGGTGAGTAAAACCTATAAACAAATATCATAGGGGCATAACAACCGCAGTAGATTTTCCTCAAGCACTATTTTGGTCTCCCACACAAAATGGTTGACCTCAATTTCTTGCCTTGTGGCACTGAGACGAGGTGGGGTGTACTAGAATATGTACAAGATGCATTGTACTTCTCGCTGAGGGAAGGCTATAGTAGAGATGATTTAGCAAAAGAGAGGCCGTCGCCAGCTGGTTCGCTTGTACTTTTCATTTCTGCTTCTCACATGACGTCTGCCATCTTGCTTGGGTAGAACAAGTTTTACAAGCACCAAGAAACGCCTAGGATGCAGCACATAAATGGAATGAAGTCTGCTGCTTCCTCTTTTAGTTGTAGGGAGGTATACTTGCAGAACATCGCATAGGCTGCTAGTTCAAATTGTGCAGTTCAAATTTAGCATGATTTGTATCTACTGTAAACTGAATTCACGCTTTTGCATGTGGACAGATGACAAAAGAAAAAAACCTGTCGAGATGACAGCCTTACTACATCAATGACTTTCATTTCTTTTAATTTACTGCAGCATTCTTTGAAAATCATGCCTTTAATGTGCAAACTATTGTTTTGTTGCAGAATGTGGAAGTGATGGATTTCACTGTAGTAACAACACCTCGTGCCTGCCACTCGATCGCCGCTGTAATGGATTTGTTGACTGCTGGGATGGAAGCGACGAGGCCAATTGCACAGCTCGTAAGTGTGCTTTACGCTTACACAGCACTTAACAAGTGGCTACCCAGAACCATGCCTCAAACCACTGTAATGTCAATATCCAGGATGTTCCTACTTCAAAGAGTAAATTGTACTGACTATACCAGGGTGCAGTTCAACATCCATTGGTCCCCCCAACTGCACCACCTTAGCTTATTTCGATGCAAGCATTTCATGATGTAGAATTCTCGCAAAAAAAAAAAAGAGAAAAAGAAACTGATCTTGCTGAATGAACCATTTCAGATGTTGTGTAGCTTTTGAAAGAAATTCCCTGTCTATCATGCCAGTAGTATAGTTTAAGCTAAGAAATAGATTGTCTTAATGTACTATTGCTTTATTTCAATGCTTCAAAGTAATAATTCCATTGTGCATTTGGCACAACTATAATTCTAGACAAAGCAACCTGCAAGCTGTAGTGTTTCACGACCACTTTCCCGACTCGAATTAATGAAAACACCGGACAGAAACAAACGGGAGATACGGACAAGCACTCTGTGTCGGCCTTTTGTTGCAACCTACATTTTTTTTGCGCTATTTCCACTAATTGATAGACTCAAATCTCCATATGATAACCCACATATAATGAAATATAAATGATAACTAAGTAATAGAGAATAGTCTTGCAATAAATACTGTGTTAGAAATATACAGTGAATTCCCGTTAAGACGAACTCGTTTAAGACGAATTCTCGCTTATGCCGAACAACGCGAGAACGTTTGTTTGGTTTTCATAGACCCAACGCAAAAAAAAAATCCGCTTAAGACGAACAGCCTTGCACCTGCTCTTCTGTTAAGACGAACACTTTCACGGAGACCGGGAGACCGAGGCGATTCTACAGAGGAATTATGGCAATCTTGGGGGGCATTCCCACGGCCGGAGGGAAAGAAAATACAAAAGCAGCAACGGCGCGAAGCGAATTTGCGCCACGGCAGAGGGAGGGAGGCAGCGAAGACACTCGCTTTCGCTGGCGACGACTGCACAGGGGGAAAGCACAGCAAGGTGAAGGTTACCGTACTCGTTGGCGCAAACATGCCAGGAAGCGACAAGTTGAAACTGTTGGTCATCGGCAAATCAAGATCGCCGCGCTACTTCAAGCTTGCTAAAACGCTGCCGGTGACCTACACGGCCAACTCAAAATCCTGGATGACTCAGTCGATTTTTGAGGAGTGGCTGCGAGACATGGATTGCCGTTTCCAGAAAGAAAAGAGACGCGTCATATTCCTGTTGGACAACTGCCCTGGGCACGGGCACGTCGCCAACCTTCAGGCCATTCGCTTGGAGTTTTTGCCCGCTAACACCACAGCCAAGCTCCAGCCAATGGACCAGGGGGTGATCAGCAGCCCGAAAAGGCACTATCGCCGATCTCTTCTGCAGAGAATGTTACTGTGCATGGAGAGCGACAAACAGTACACAATGGACCTGCTGATAGCACTTCACCTCCTCACAAATGCCTGGAGCCAGGTGACTGACATGACTATAATAAAATCATTCCGTCATGCTGGTTTTGTGGTGCCCGAGTGCTCGGCGCAGGACAGTTGCGAAGACGACGAGGATGAGGTGAGCCTCGTTGCCTCGCTAGGTAATAAAAGACTCCTTGTGGACATAGACAGTTATGTCACCGTCGATGAAGATGTGCCAATCTGCAGGGAGGACACATTGGACACATTGATTGATGAGGTTCTAGAGGTTCCTTTGGATGACGAAGATGCCAGCATGGGGCCTGCGCCAGTGGCAAATGATGCTGCAGATCTCTACATTAGTTTGTTAAGGAAGTATTTTGAGCAGCATGAAGGAACTAAAGTGTTTTTGAGATCGCTAGGAGATATGGCGTCATTTGTGGCTGCTCGCTGATGTGCACAACAGCGACAGACGTCCATTATGGACTGGATCAAGCCGAGCAAGAGCACTTGAACGCAGTTGCCTATCAGGTTACTCCCTCAATTAAATTATTTTTGTGTCTTTTTGCTTCACTGTAAGTGTACTTGATACTTTGTTTTGAACTAAGATATTTGCATGCACCTAGATATGTAGCCGATTCTTTATACGAGGGTGCTTCTGATAAGACGAGCATCTGATAAGACGAACAATTCTTCATGGTCTCTTCGAGTTCCTCTTAAAGGGAGTTCACTGTACATTTATAACAAATTTTTAAGTATAACGAGCTTGTTTTTTGTGCAAGATGCAACTGTCAAAATGAGGTTTGAGTGTATATGCAAAACCAACTAGAACAATTACATATTGCCCTGCAACTGTTTTCAGTGCGTGGGTTTGATAATCCGATTAACCTCCTCCTCTCTTTCCCGCACGCAGTCTGTCCCGCCTCTCAGCACACCTGTAACAGTGGCCAGTGTATCCCGATGGACAACTTCTGCGACAGCTACCGAGACTGCGACGATGGGTCGGACGAGCCGCCCGGCTGCGATTCCCCGTGCCTGGCACATCAGCGCCAGTGCCAGAATGGCCGCTGCGTGCCGGGCACCGTGTGGTGCGACGGCTTCGACTCTTGTGGCGACGGCAGCGACGAAGCCAACTGTGGAAGCGCGGCACCTTCTCGAGACCGCAGCTCTGTCGTTCCGGCGCTCCCGCCTGGTCATTTGCTTGGCAGGCTACTATCCAACAAGCACAGGAAGGCAGTGCACCCACAGACACCGGTGGCCAGAAGTCGAAGGTGATAGGGACGCGGTTACATCAACAATGGACAGTGCAACTGCAAGCTGTGGTGCACATGGGAACAGTTTGTGAACTAATCAGTGGGAACAAATACAAGAAGAGTCCTTCTTCAGCATCCATTGTGCTTCAGCGGGTCGATTGCAAGGTGCTTGTGCGATGTTAGTGCAGAAAGGCAGGAAGCTTTGAACTTCAAGTACCATCTGCGAACTTGGGAATCGAGCCACAAAACCAGACGACGCAGCATAGAACAAGAGCAGATGCACATTGGTGTGCTGGCATTTGTCCCGGGAACAAAGACGGCGGCTTCACAATAGCCTGCCGCTCATTCTGTGACTCTTTGTATCGCTGGTCACGGGGGTCCTTGTACAGTGCTTTAGCGAACCTAAACAAACAAGGAGTCAGTTTAGCTTTTACGACTTTCGCTTGTGCACTTTTGTGTGTAAAATATGTATACGAGTCAAGTGAAATCTCCATGGTAATTTGTACTTACCACTGCCCGATGGAAGAAACGGATGTGATGTCAAACAATGCGCAATATTCGTCTGCAGTTTCCTAGAGCCTCAAGGCACTAGTTCAATATTGTTGCTTTAACGGAGACTTGCCTTAGCCTCCCCTTGAACATCACAGCTGTTGGGCACTCTCGTTTGCTGTTAGCTATGAAGTTGATGTTCCTTTTACCATTGTACAGAGCACATTACCTGATATATATATAATATACACCAGGCACTTGTCCTGGAAGTGATGAGCCCGTGACCAGCCTTGTGGTGTAAATATTCTGCATTCCAGTCATCATCTGTGAAGCTTCTACTCGCCGCGTGAGGAGGAGAGGAGACATGTGCGTCACATTAGGAACCGATGTTTTACCTTGTGAAAAAGACCTCACCTCCAAGTGCTGCCTGAATATAAAGTTAACTACTTCACGAAGTCTTGTGTGAGTGATGCCAGGTCGCATCTGCGAGCAGTGTGCGACTATGGTAGATTGTCTCTTGATACATGGACAATGCTCACGGACAAGTGGCAGTTTTCACGCAACCGTGTCCCAAATCTGTTCAGCTGTGAGCGGGTGCACTGTTTGGACACATTGTGTGCTAGTGTGTGTTACGAACTGTGTACAGGTGTTGGACTAATTATTTAAGAAGACGAGAAACACTTCTATGGCATTATGTACTACCAAGGCTCCTAAGGAGCTGCCTTCAGCAACAGCTTATAGAAAGTGGTTTTTTGTTTACCATGTTTAGAGAGCCTGCCACCTTAATGTATGTTTGTTCAGAAGTCTGTCCATTGTTCACGATTCCTCTTGTAGCATAAAAAGGCTTGTGTTCCAAAACTAGATGCCATCATGGAGCTTGATCACTTACGTTTCACTACTGAAACATTCCACATTTTAATTTTGATTTCGCCTATCATCAAGCTCAAGAGGTTTGAGCTGACATAAAATTAGGTTAACTGCTTCAGTAGATCTTTTTTTTTTCACTTGTGCTGCCACTTTTCTACCGTTCAATGTGGTCACATTATAGCACGTGCAGCCTACCTTAACGTCACAGCACAGTAAAACTCGAGCACTGCTCTGTCAGCTGCTACTAGTATGCTAGTCAAGTTTTTCAGCGGGCAGAGTTTGATTCACAAACCTGTTTAGGACACCTTGTTACACATTTCCGTTTGCAAAGTCTGTCACAGCTGAATTTGGTGCTAATGGATCTAGATTGTGAAATGCTGAAAGCTTAAAGCCAAGCAATGTTTGACGTACCTTTGAAGCCGAGGTGGGGGATACCAAATTATGCTGGTTGTTTTGCCTTGACACAAACAAAATTGTGCTTTGCACTTAACAGGATCAATAATAGACCCAAGTGATACAGCACGGGTGATGCAGGCAAACATATTCTCATTGCATAAGCAATTGTGAATGTAACAGATGTACACCACTAAAATTCGATAGTCAACATTTTGAGCATTAAGTCTTTAGTGCAGATTGGCTAAGGGTGTCAGAAGTACCCTTAAGACAGTAGTTTAAATAATTATCTGCAGACACATATTGGAGCATTCTATATCGGCACAACGCTTTGCACACTGAATATGTGTATGTGTTATGTATAGTAGTTGATGCATTACACTGAAGCACTCGCACATAGTTGAAGCCAGGTTATTACATTCTAAAAGCACAGTAGCTGAAAAGACCGTGATGCGTCCGTCCCTTGGTGCCGCTTGGCTTTGCAGCTGTTGCGTTGGAAGCACGATTCCTTTTTCAAGGGAAACGAGTCTTGTTCTACAATGTAGTTCACGTTGGAGTTTTAGGGTTTGTAGCGAAAAAAAAAAAAAAGGTTCCTATGCAAGAGTGCTTGAGAAACTTTTTTTTTTGCCACACACACACACACAGATGTACTGAGATCCCTCTCTGCCTCGAGTTTCAAATCCCGGAAAAATTTTTTTGTTTGTGCAGTGTTGTTGCCATGTTGCTGAAGATGATGCTGAGAGAGTTAATTTATTTTTTATTGTATCTCCCTGTCAGCCACTATGGTGTAATAAATGCTATAATGAACCCGAAGCCAGTCTCTCGGTGAAATTTCTGCCTGGCACAACAAGCGACACAAGAGCAAGTCATTTTCCAGGAATTGGTTCTTGCACTGCAGGGCAGTTATAGTTGTACAGTACTCTCGATTGAAACATGTTTTTTTTTCTGGATAAGGACTGCTTCGAGTAACTGTTCATGATAATTGCATGACATATCACTACGAATCCAGCTGCTAAAGGCAATGTTGGCTCTGACGTAGGCAGTTTCAACAAATCTGGTGTTTTTTTTTTTTTTTTGTGGTAGTTGTCACCCAGACAGCCTCGATCCCAACTCAGACCCGTAAATTTTTATTAACGATTTCATTTGCATATTTCAGGAGCTGTAGACAGAGTAAAAATGCATTACTTAGTCATGTTTTCATGATTTAGTCTCTGGGTATCGAACTATGTCCAAGAGGCCCAATTTTGATTTCTTGACAGTTTCAGTAATGCATCTATAGGCGTGGACAATATAGAAGTGGTCCTTTTTGGCGTGCCAGCGGACGCCGGCTGTGGCCCAAAGAACAAGTCAGAGCCGAGAGTTGATAAACAAAACAAAATTATATTCTCAATAATGGCAGATCAAAAACAATACACAAGTATGCACACTCCACAATAGTTGCATACAATATGTCACCAATCAAACAACGTACTACACAGTACAATCAGCCACACTCGAAACAACGGACACAGACAACAATACGCACTACAATGCAGTCGCATGCATTGAACAACCAAGACACTTAAAGACTAAAGAGATAGAAAACCTATTCAGTCCAAAGTTCTTGGAACCAAAGTCTAGAGGATACTCTTCCGAGAATCACTCACTCAAAGTCCAGCGTTGTTGTCGTTCCGCTGCCCCCGAAGTTTCTCTTCCAGGAAACCTCGCGTCCTCAATTGGCCACTCTCCAAGCTTCAACTTCTTCGCCGGAAACACGTCGGCTTCACACACGCAGCTGTTGCCATGCGTCTTCGCTCGATAGCGGTAAACACACACTCTGGCCTGTAGCTCGAGTCGTCACCCGTCAGGTGGAAATCATCTTCTTCTCCCGCTTTGTCTCTACGGACAAAACCTTCGCCGACTACACGGCGGAATCCCCACGCGCTCTGGCGCTAACTTCCGTCTTCTCCTGATCTCTAGTCTCCGCTGCTCAATTAAATACCTTCCGCGCGAGATTCCAGAAAGTTCTCATCCTTTCGTCGGCGCGATGCGCAGCGAAGGCTGGGGGAAAGCGCGAGACGGTACGAGGGCCGTCCGCGATGGATGACGCAACCCGGCATCACCACGCCCCTTTCCATCGAGAAATTTCGAGGGCTTGCTCGGCCGCCGATGTGGGGTGAGGAGGTTCGTCGGCGAACCTACGCTTCCCAGGGGAGGACGCGCGCCCGGGGAGTCTTTGGATGCTTTTCTTTTTTTTATCGTTGACCTCTCGGCGCTTTGTCGCGAGAATTTGGCGGCGCGCCCTTTTTTGAGCGCTCGGTTTGTGACAATAGCAGACCAGTGTGCAACTGTAGCAAGACGCATGCAGTTTCCTTAAAGAGCAGCTTAACAAGTGGAATTGAACTAGTCTTATTGTGTTTGGATGCTGGAATAGTCTATATTTCAAGTGCTTCTTTTCTGGGTTACCTAATGTTGCAGCAGCTGGGGCTGACAAGATTTCTTGCTCCCCACTAATGATGCCGATGCAGACTGTCTGCTAAACAAGCTTTCCAACGCAACCACAAGGTCATAATGCGTGCTGATGAAGAGACACATCATTTTGCAACCTTTGCTCCCTGTGAAGCATTCAGCGTGCTCACCGATAAGAAGCGGGAGAGAAAGTGCTTGATGCTTGTACGGATTGATCTTGATCTTTGGATGGATTCAAAAAAATTTTTTGATAGTTGATTCGTGGGGTAATAAGCTATTTTAATAAAGTCATTCTAAATGTATTGCAAGGTCCTTTTAATTACAGTGGCCGATCTGGGGGCCGGCATCGCAGTGCAGTTAAACCGCCAGAAAGCAGCAGCCAATATGGTCATGTAAAAAAAGTGGAAATGCTCAATGCTACTACGAGCGACAATTTAACTCTTCGAAGGCTCTTTGTAGCTTCGAGCTCACTGGTAACAAATGGAGAGGGAAAGCAGTCATTCCATGTAACGGCCCTGTTTGTGCTTGACGGATTTGAAAACTGAACATCCACGAGGCAAAAAAACTTCGAACGATGACTCCTTTAATTCATGACAGCAATAGTTGACAGTTCTACAAGGAATGCTTCACACGTATTCCATGCACCCGCCGAGTCGAAATGTTTTTTTTTTTTTTTTTTTTGCGTGCGCCTGATGGTGGCAACAGTCCTCACTTTCACGTGCTTTCTTCTAAAAGAGTTGAGGCCTCTTCATCGAAAGAAGAAAAGCATTTCACTGCCCCAGAGGCAAGAGAGGCTACTTTGAGAGAACGATCTTCTTCGATGTGACGATGAATACAGCCACTAACAGACCCCAGATAAGCTGATATGGATTCTGCAAAAAAAAAAAAAAGAGAAGGTAGAGAAAGCAGTGATGAATGCCTGTGCATATCGAGCGAGTGAACCTTACACACAATTACATTAGCCATGCAGTAGTACCTAGTTGTGCAGGCACAGCCTTGCTTTACCCCATATACCGTTGCAATGCCTCTATGCAAAATCTGTTGCCCACTGAATTACATAACAGTGCTAGCTGTGGAGGACTTTATGAAGCATGAAATTTGAATATGAGCTCGCATTCCACCTACTTATCTACAAAGAGCACATGTTTTTTTATTTTATTTTTTGCATAAGTTAACCTGCTGGTCAAATTTGGGAAAAGCTTAAGGTATCTGTGGTGGTTTTGTGTTGCGTTGCACAGAAGAGGGTGACAGTTTTATTAACTTTATCTCGATGACTCGAATAAAATGTCTGCCTAGTGTTATTTTAATGCTTCAGAGAGGCCCAGGTGCACACAATGTGTGCCTTTTGTGCATAACCTTTTCGCTTCCACATTTGAAGTACGCATCCTAGTGACAAGAGCAGCTTTAGTAAAATTTTCAAGCTGTTTGACTGACGTAGTTCCCACTACATCATGGTGACAATATTACATCATCATTGCTTCACCTTGCCTCTATTATTAGAATAACATGAGAAGGAAACTGGTTTTATAAGATGATTTTGGATCACCATAAACAAAAGCACATTTTGAGCTAGAATATAAAAGACAACAAAAACCTCTCACTAGATACATGACAAGGCAGAAAAGCTTCCACCCAGACGACCTAAGCATGGCAGCAGACTCAAAACAGTCCTGATTATCTGCTCGGCTATAATCTCCGATAGTAAGGTCACAGTCCTATGACATCAGTCCAGCATGTGTGCTTGCTGGCGCAGGATGGTGTGCATCTGCCTTTGAAGTAGAAACGCGATCACCTTCTACAGCCGTACCAGACTAAAGAAATTCAAAATAGAGCCGGCAAGCTACCATGCCAAACTATACTTAGTCAAGGTGAAATATTCAGTAGAAAATTTGTATACTACTAAGCCTGCACCCCAATTTATTTCACTTATAGCACACGACTAAAGGATTTTCCTAGGAGATATTTTGGCTGGAAGATTTCCCTGACGTCAGCCTGCCCCTGATATCAGAAGTTACATGCCACAGTGGTCTTGTGGTTATGGTGCCCAAGTGCTGACCCACAATCGCAGGATTGAATCCCGGCAGCGGTGGTCGCATTTTCAATTCAGATAATGCTCAGAGGACAGTGTTTAAAGAACCCCAGGTGGTATGAATTGCACGAGTCTTCCACCATGGCTCCACTCAACCATGTCGTGGTTTTGGAACGTTAACTCCTAGTAGTTATATCTCAGAAATTACCTACATGTAGTTGTGAAATGCAGCCTCTATGCACAATGAAGCTTAAAAATGAGAGGGGAAGTGGGATCTTAAAGTTCCTTTGAGTCCCTACCAACTCATAGTAAGGAAGACTAAGCTCTGATTGTTCGGTGTTCTCCTCGGAAAGAATATGGCCCTGGGTTCGATTCTCTGGAGCAGCACAAATAATTCAACTATGAAGCTTAGCTTCTAAGTGAACCAGTGCGCTACAGAAAGGTAGAGTGCACTTATGTGTGGCATTGTCCTAGGCATGCAGCACAATGAGTAGTGTTCAGCCATACCTGAAGGCAACAGATTACTAGTAAGCAATTACTATTTTTTGGTAGTTTTACAATGAGTCAACTGATCTTTGTATTCAAAAACATACACCGCAATCTCATTGCTATTTTCAGCAACTAGTAACATGTATTGATTGATTGATTTGTGGAATTTAACGTCCCAAAACCACCATATGATTATGAGAGACGCCGTAGTAGAGGGCTCTGGAAATTTCGACCACCTGGGGTTCTTTAACGTGCACCCAAATCTGAGCACACGGGCCTACAACATTTCCGCCTCCATCAGAAATGCAGCCGCCGCAGCCGGGATTCGATCCCCCGACCTGCGGGTCAGCAGCCGAGTACCTTAGCCACTAGACTACCGCGGCGGGGCAAAAACTACTAGTCACATGTAACCTTATTCAAGAAACAAGGTGTAATGCACTACAACATCGGGAACAGTTGAACTTGATGACTGGTATACAGAGAAACGCCTGGCAGTCGTGCCATGCAACAGTCTCATTCATGCCAATGTCTTTCAGAAAGGCAAGCCACTGATTGTGAACTGGTAATAGGAAACCAATGCAGATACGATTGATTGCACTTTAGAAATCGCTAACTGTCATCAATTTTCTTCAGCAGAGACTGAATCGTGGTTGCTTTCTCATTTTGTGTAAAGCGTACAAATCTGCATTCAACCCACCAATCAACGTACAGTTGAAATCTTTGTAGAGGGAGGTGTCCACTTCTTGTCTGCCGGTGGCTGCCCTGTGAGCCGACAGCGACCCAGGTAGTCCATCATGACATACAAGTTGACCCACCAAGGAACTCCCAGGTTCTTCCTGTACCTGGG